ACTACTGCACGGAAGTAGTTGTTCTAACGGACGAGTAATAATGAAGGTCGGCGTTGGCTTCGATGCACTGCTAAATTTAAAAGCCAGGACTGATGACGTAAAGAATCATTCTGTTCTGTTGCGGCCACAGGTGACTTCAGCAGATGTACAGTTACGGCAGACGTTGACCAGTTAGAGAAGCTGTGTGATTATGGACCATTTATTCCCGCCCAGGAACTTATCCGGTGAAAGCTTAAACAGGACAGACGCATATCCATACAAAGGTGAGGAATACAGAGTGCAATACGCAGGGATAAGGTCGAAGAAGCTTTGCATTCAGAGAGGCTTATTTTCGTATACGACGTAGTAACTTGCTTTCTAAAGAAGGTGTTGAAAAGTTACGAATAGAGCGACATCGCAAATCTGAGACGTGCTGCTTATGCAAACGGTTTAAAGCGATGGTCTAAACAAACAAAAGGCACAATTCAAGTGGAGCTCGAAATTCTTACCGTCCAAAATAGCTCCAAGGTTCAGTTTTGAATAATTCGTCTTGGCTGATTGACCCTTGCCTTCGTTCTCGTGCGCGCGAGCGCTTAATTTCTTTCTGCTACCTTTGGCTTTAGTACAACCATCGCGATCCTTAATGACAACAAAATTAATAAGCATGACACGACTGTAACTGTAATTATTTGTAAAAGCGGATCGACTGCGATGAAAACCAGAAAGTTATGAGAAATCAGATTTGACTAAAACTCATAATTTTCATTTATGAGAATTATGTCCGAATTCTAGCAGAACTGACGATTAAATAAGCCTTCTCTACTGGCAAAGCGAGCACTCATTTTCCGTATGCTTGCTATGGCCTTCCGTTCATCTGAGCTGGTAAAATGATGACATATCGATCATTGTTTTCAGATTTTCGATAGGGTGCGAATTCTGCTTATCGGTACTAGCACTGATTTACGTATCCCAGTTCAGAGAACTTAACTGCGTCGTAAGTAATAAATTGCAATATTTCAAGTTTTATAACTGACATGTGAAATTCATCCATTTATCCTGAGCGATGTTCCTATGATATCTATACGAAGGCAGAGGCAGTAACAGTTCATGAAGACCGGTCGCAAACAGAGTTAATCTGTTGTTTTCCATTTGCGGTTTACCCCTGCTGAATTCCAGTCACCCACCAGGCGGCTTACAACCAAAGGTAAGGTTAAGACGCACACTTTATGAATATGGACATCATCCTGCACATAGTGGCATTTACATAGACACGTGAACACCGTTCTGCTCCAATCGGATCGAAAGCAAACAACGTTAGCCCGACGATGCGCAGGTTTAACCGAAACAGTTGCTAATTATCTTTTACTATGGAACTGGGTTTGGCAAAAAAAAATACTGCGCACCTGGGATTTAATCGTATCAGTCGAATACTTCAAACAGACTAATGATTCCCTGTGCAGTGATCCATGGAAAATAGCAAAACTCCATATTATGGTATTATTTTACTTTTGTCCTAAATGCTCCAAACAGACTACTGATACACAGTAGCATACAGATAAGGAAATTTCAGTATGCACAGACATTGTCACAGCCTGGGCACAAGGGACAGTTTCGGTGAGCCCGATGCTAAAGAAGTGCTTCGTAAGGGTAGATACCATAATGGTCTTGGTCGTAAGTGACATTGAAAAAAGTTTCAACACTACCGAGCAAACCTGAAGGGCACGATATCCACGATATACTACTCTACTACTATTTGCCCTTTTGTGTACTACTGCTTACACAATTTTTAAATACATTTAATTTTCTGATCGATCGTACGTAAAGACACAAGATCTTGATCTTTTCTCTAGCAAGCCAAACCAGTATGGCTGTGTATATCTTCTTTTACAGATGATTCCTATAATTTAAGCTCTATTTTATGTAACCATGTTTTATATTGTTGATCATACGAATGTGAGGATGATGAAGAGTATGGGGTCTTGAAGGAATCTCCTGGAAAGAGATTTCAGTAAAAAAATAACCTTGGTGATATAGGTTTACTAGCAGTCGACCAGAATTCACAATAATCTTCGACTATGCTACTTGTCAATCTGCTGCCGCTGGATGTCCCTACAATGCTGTCGGGGACAGGTATGCAGGTTTACTGAATGCAAGGTAGAAACAGGACACTTTAAGCTGTTCAAACAACGTTCAGCAATGTTTTCTGAGCAAAATAAAACCATTTCCAGCAAATGCAGCCGCAGTAAGAAATGATTGTTCCAACGACCGCTCTGCGTTGTATTATGGCATGGCAGCGCTTCATAAATCAACGTGAAAGTCGTTAACGCTAGTCACATATGCTGTCAGTCTTTAGAGTCATAGTCACTATATTCACACAACTGTTTTAGACCAGTTGAAATGGGCGAAGACATCCTTTGCAATGACATGGCAAATTAGGTACGCATGCCATGCATAAGCTCAGCCAGATGAGATGAACTGCTTACTGTAAAATCATCGAAACCTGAAAAACATCTGCATCTGCCGCAAAGGCCAGAGTTAAAGGCCTTGCGAGGTGCACAGGTATGTTTAGTTCATCACGGCAAGTTTCAAATTAATCCCTGATTGACATTCACGCATAATCAAGCACAAGCATATCTGAAGCGCGTAAGAGAATGGTGCACTTACCGCTGCAGGTCGTCGATCTCTTGACACAGTCGGGGGTCTTGCAATTGGACATACAGCATCACGGGTTTTGTACTTTTCTCCTAAATTTACTCCCATGAACTGATCAAACAACTCAACGGAAGCGAATTCCTCTGTCACGGAAACAGCCATGCAGAAGACCTTTCCGTCGATATGTTCGATCTCTTTGAGGAACGTCGATACCAGATCGAACCTTAACGATCGAGAAAAAACGCCTACAAAAACGCAGTTAAATATTCACCTGAAATGCAGCACGTGACTACCGTAAACCCTGCAATGAACGGAGCAAGCAGGGAAATGGTAGAACTTGGGATCGATGGGCTTCATATCCGCAAATTGGCAAACTTGCGTGAAGCCGTAGTCGACAAATCGTACGAGACAGTCGCTAATGGTCGGCAATTCAATTACCGCTCGACAGAAGCCACGTTTACACGGCGCTATGCAAAGCAAGCCTTTCCGAATCTACGTGATCCACAGATTACACAAAAGTCAACTTCGCATTCAACCAAAAATGCAACGCTTCAAGCTATATTACATTGCGTGGCAATAAAAAAGCATCTGTCAGTGCATATCGAAGTTGTCATAAGCGATTCACCTCATCGGAAGCGATCGTTGAGTCCAAGCTAGCATAATACGATTGAATTTCCTTTTCCATTTGCAAACGATCGCAGGCTAGTGCGCTGAGTTGAACGTAGAAATCAACCGGCGACTGTGCGAAAGTGACTATTCCAGAAAATTGGTTATTACATTTGGCAGCTTGCAGAGAAGCGATAGGTGTCATTTCGAAAGACTGCTCGATGGATCCGCCTTCCTCTAAATGATTTAACACGAGATTAAATACCGTCTTTTCTAGCACGAATCACGATCAGCACAGCAAATATCATTTGTTGATATTAAAATATAGATGCCCGATTGAAACGGCGAAAATGGAGAGGATAAAGAAAGAAAAATGTATTTCTCACTTTGCACCAACTGGTTTGTGCAGCGCCCCCTTGCTCCTAGTCTCCTAGAGGGCCATTTAAGCAGGTCACGGTTCTATGGTACTTAAGCGCCTGCAGTGCACAAGACGCAAGATCGCGTTTCCTAATTGTGTTGAACAAACCCATGTTCAAGCCCAAGGCCACGATCCGAAGGCGAAACAAATCGAAAACATAACTCCGACGTTCTGGGATCGACTCCACGACTACAAGCAAGGGGACGTTGTCATAAGCAGTTGGTGTAAAGCGAAAAATACATTTTCTCTCTTTATACCGCATTTTCGCCGTTTCAATCCGGTATCTTTATTTTAATGACATGTACTTAACGGCGGTATTAAAAGCTCCCACTCGTTGAGTCTACCCCCAGAACATCGAGTCATGTTTTTGGTTTGATAAATGTAATTTACTATCATTTTTTACCATTGCGGGCAGTTCGACAAAATTGCCGTCTGCACGATCGGATGAATTATACCGGACAGTACTGTTAAACCGGCAGTATCAATAACAGTAGTGACATTCCTTTTTGCTTTAGATTTCGTTATGTCGATATCTAAAATCATTTAAATTTAATGAGTCTGAGTCTGAAACATGGTCTATCATTGCATAACAGGCGTTTTCCACGTGCCTGGAAGATCTATTACTTTGTGGTAAATATTCCCTAAATATAATGCATTAATGGTACTATTCATAACCGCACAGTGAATGCTATTGATCTCTGACTTCCCTTTCTAGCAGCTAGCCGTTAGGCTAACTGTTTCGTAACTGTGAATGACTTGTGGTTAGGAAATAACCTAGGAACTTGAACCGGATCATTTATATTTCGTTGTTCTGTAATAACTAAATCGACGCTGCTACCTGGAAAGGAAGGATAATAAGGTTGATGGCTATTCTGATCAAACAGAACTAGGTTTTTCCTCCAAATGACATCCCTAGTCCTACTTGATTGCACTGATAGATCCTTCGAAGAACAGCTTCATGAAACAACTGTAATTCCATTGCGGTCCATCAGGGAAATGTACGCACAACCAACACTGCTTTCAGATGAACTACCAAAGTTATCGGCTAAATTGTTTTATAATGCTTACTTATTTCTTTGTCGAAACCAGAGACGCCTGATACCCCGGGTTGCTGCTTCGACGCACCCACGATTAGGGACAACAATCATCTACGGAAATGGTCTCTATCCAACATCATTTAATTCGGTTTACAGGTTACTGTAATATGACTTGTAGTCTGAAATATTTCCTGCTTCGATTGAGAAATTCTAAACTAGACGACTAGATTAGCATTAATTCATTTGTCATCCGTCGCAAGCATCGTCGACGGGAGTAGCGTAGAAATCTCCATCAGACTTCAGAGAGTTCAGAGTGTCATGGTCATGTTAATTACTTCACAATATACTTAGTATACTCAAAACTAACAATAGGCTCATTTTAATCTATGTTTTCCCAGAGACCTTTGAAACTAAACTGATCTTTGCATAACATAAATTTTTACACTTCGCATAAGCCTCACCGTTCAACGAAATATGCACAAACATAGCACACCACAACTACGTTCTACGCTGTTATGATTACCGTTGTTTTCTGAGTTTTCGACTTGCAGTCGAGTAAGAATTTCTTCAATTTCTTCTGTGATTTGTGCTAG